GGGGGGGGCACGTGAAAAAATTGGTAAGCTGAGGGGGGGTCATGCGATTTTTAAATGGTGCTTCCCAAATCCCACCAGCCCCCCCTCCCCCATAAAAAATGAACGGTCCCTAAAAAGGTTGCAACGATCAAAGCGCACATTGGCAGCTTGCAGTACAAGTCTATGGAACGTCAGCAACCTCCTTATCGGCATCCCCCGTTAAGAAATGTGCAACAACAAGGCTCATCACTTTCCGAGGTCGAAAATGACTCGCAAAGTGATGTTGTAGATCGAGTTGTCGGTTCAAGCTCGAGCATCTTAAGTTACGTATCGTCACCGGAGACTGAGTTTATACCTGAACTGACCTAGCCTGCAGAACAGGCGGATTAGCGGGCTCTAACGCGATACACAAGCGCGCGCGAGGCGCGAGAACGCGAAGCGCTTCGTGCGCGCGCTCGTGTAACGCGTTAGAGCCCCCTAATCCGCCTGTAGTGCAGGCTAGTACTGACCCTGTGCGGAAACATTGCCGTTGTCATTACGCGGGCACGAGGTGAGAGAGACAATAGTGTTAGTTGGGAGACGACAGTTTTTCAATATAACTTTTCAACAGCTGTAAATAATGTGGAGTGATCTTGGCTGGTAGTTTTGCTTGTACATGAAAGTCTTAGTTTTCCAAACACTGCACATGGTTGTTAACTTGAATGTCGAAAAAAGTTGTTGGGAATTAGATGTTTGCCTGTCAACACGATGTTTTCCCGATAAAGCTCACGCTAAAATCACTCACCCACGACAGAATTCTGAACATATATATTTTGCCTCACATAACGTCCCGAGTTAGATTACAACACACTCTTAGATTCTCTAGAACAAAAGACAAACAAATCGTACAATGTTTTCTTTGGTTGGCTACAGTTACTAACGATGACAGACTCGATGCCTGTCCCTTTACGGTCGGCAGGTATATTTTGTGATGGAAACATCTGTGGAGCGGCCATCCAGATGGCTTTGAAGAGATTTCACTGGTCTCAGCGTGTCAATCGATAAGTACTTATAGCGGATCGATCGTGTTTTCACTATGTGAAAGGGGCGAACTACTTTATGTAAGAACCCCTGACGAGTATATAGGTTATTAATTATTTTTAGTGCCAGCGGTTTTCCAGTTATAATTAAATTTCAACCTGCAACCTGCAAAATATACCTGCCGCTTTCCGGTCAACTAAACAATCAATTCTAGACGCGTTAAAAGGGGTTTGATTATGTAAACACACGATTTGCGACAAAGTGACCCTCCCCCGGCTGCGAACAAACGAGGTTTTTGGCCCAACCCAATTTGTAAAAACGCTATCCTCCGAAACCCGGGCCCACCCTTCCCCCCTCTCCTCCAGCAAAAAAAAAAAAGTACCTTCCCTAGACGACAGTCGGTTTTGCCTCCAGAGGCTCCCCGAGTTATCGTTTTCATGTGACGTTGTCATGTTCCAAAATGAAAAGTTTTCTATCTTTCCGAGGTTTTAGTTCCATCAGATGCAAGACCAACCTGACGTTTTAGAAAATTTTAAATTACATGTAACATGAATTTCCAAGTTTCTGCGTTGCGTGACATTCAAATAGCGGCCCGAGAAGGCTGTCGCGTAAATAAGATGACTAACCAAGCAGTCCTTAGATTAGACGAAGTAATAATTTCAACATGTAGGAACATAACATTTCGTTTTAAAGGCAAAACTCAATGACAGATGTTTCTGTTACTATACGGTCGCCATAGGACCTTTTTTACCGATGTCACGCAATGTCAACAATTTTTCGTAATTTTCCAAAAAGAGGGAAAATCCCCTCTATAGTTCAATTTATCATGCCGTAACGTGTTTTTTGGCAGTTATTCTTGTGTTCTGCTGTTGTGTGGCTGTAGTTAGTTCAATGTTCTACTCATTCGGCGAAGTCTATGAACAAAGCAGATATCTGTTGGGCCGAAAACAACTGTGTGTCATTCTGGTCCGACAAATGAACATGCGGATGTACACATAGTCACTCTTCTAACTGCAAAATAGACAAAAGCCAGTCGCCTTCTTTTCCTCCATGCTACATTCGTCCTCTTTCCCATGCAAGAAACAGAAGGGGTTGCATTATGTTCCCTTGGATCCGGCTGGTTCCTAGAGTTTCATTCCACGTTCTTCGCTTTCTTTCGAGCCAAAGGAAAATTAGAAAAGAGACAGACTGCTCGCAAACTGGACTTTTGAGTGGACTACAAAATGCAATTGCGCGCTTGAGGAAGAACTCGAAGGCATCAGCAGCCCTCGTTAATTTATATAATATCAAGTCTTGCTGCAAAGGCTCAGGACTTGAGACATACCCACTTACCGACTGGAAGCGAAAGGTAGAGAAAACCAACCCCAACTAGCCACAGTTGCATGTTCAGGCGCTCTGTTTTCCCTATGATGCACAAGTGATTTCAATACGTGCACTCTGTTAGTTAGTCGGCACAATATTTTGTGAATATTCAGTTCAGCCGCCAATCAGAAAAGAACGATAGCGATCTTTCTGACGGAGAACAATACAGAACAAATGACTGCGCAAATAAATTACGTCTGGATTCCATGCCGTAAATTCCTCGCCTAGTTCGGCTAGAAATTGATTTCCGGTCCGTAAGAGTTGGGTTAATATCAACAGACAACAACAAAATGACAACCCGGAGCGGGGGGACGAAATTCACATATGAAAAAGACCAGGGTGCTCCTCGTACCTATTGGGCCATTTATGGAGCTAAAAAAAAACGATTTTGGTACCTTAAATCGGTGTTCGGCCTCAAAAGTTCCTCGGCGCGAGCTTTTGTAGTACCGTTCAGGGTATTGAGCCGAAAAAAAAAAATGCGTATGACAGGAGATATTTAACAATCAACTTTACGAGTGAAGGTATTTGAAGCAATCTTCTGTCTCGCTATTTAAATTATGAAATGGTCAGTTATTAAAAAAAAGTGTTGTTTTAGAATTGGTACCACTTAGGGGAGAAAAAATATTCAAACCACGCCCAAAAAACAGGATCTTGGTACCTCTTAAAAGGCTTTTGTATATTATCCCAGCATTTTTTCGAGCATTTCAGTGAGGCAAAAGCATTAAGCATTATTCGAGCATTTTAATGGCATTTTCCCCGGAAAATAATTTTTTCCCACGTACAGAAAATAGAAATAAAAATTATTTTTTACCAGAAAATGAAGCTAGCGCGCCTAAAATTTGAATTGACCAATCAGGCTTTTGTTCTTGGGCCATCGTAGTTTAACGAGGAATAAAACTTTAATATGTTTATCACCGCTATTTGTGTTTTATTCCTCGTTGACCAATCAGGATTCAGTAGGCGGGAAAAATTTACTGTCCTGACGTCAATGTAAGTTAACAGGAAAAGCATTTTTCTTAGTATGGCACTTTTGTAAAGCTAGCGATACTAGAAAACTGGAGAGAATACAAGAAAGAGGCCCCAGAGCAGTTTTTAAGGACAACAGCTCAAGCTATAATCAACTGCTCGCGAGGGCCGGTCTGCCCACATTACTTAATAGACGACTTCAAGACCTCTCTATTTTGATGTATAAAGTTAAACATAAGTTATGCCCCTATTATCTCTGTGATTTTTTTCAGCAATAACCCTAATTCGTATAACTTAAGACAATCTGACTTTACAATGCCAAGGTTTAACTCGGTGAAATATGGTAAGCACTCGATCAGATATCTAGGACCCAAATTGTGGTCAA